GGATTATTGGATGTAAAATTACAAAAAGCACATCACTAATTACCATATTTATAAGCTACAGTATTAAAAGTCAAGATGAAATTATACTCATTCATTAATTACCTTATGGATTTCCAGTGCCATTGCTTCTAGCTCTTTCCTCCTCCTTAGGGAATTTTAGGTGGTATTTAACTGCTTTTTAACACCTCCAGAAACTACTATTTGCTTATAACTGACCATAAATTGTACATGAGGAGAGCACAGAAGAAATTATGACTCAGGATCCATGCTGTGCTACTGATTGAGATTAATCATGAGCAGTTTGCAACATGGTTGAAGGTTTTCACTGCAGAAAGTAGTTAGAATTCTGCTGATTACCTAGCATGTTAACCATTGCTTGGTAAAGAAACAGAAACATAAATCATGAGGGTTTATGTGCCAGTGAAAAAAGAGACAGTGTATCACCATACTCCTCCAGTGCTAGATGTGTTCTGCTATGGGTCCAGCCCAGGTGTCTGCACCATGACTTCACCAGAGGGCTTTTAAAGTCACCGATGCCCAGATTCCACCCCAGAACTGTGTCTAGATCTCTGAGGATGGGATACAGGCATTGGAATTTTGAAAAAGTTCCTCTGATGATTCTCAGGTGCAATCAGGACTAAAAATTAACGATCTAGCCAGCAAATAAGAGGTACCCATTATAGGTCTTACTGTGCAGGAAATCTCTTCCACATAAGGAGACTGGTACTTGGAGAGATTGTATTTGCTCAATGTCTTGCTGCAAAACAAAATTTCGCACCTAGTCTGTATGGCTTCAGAACTAGGGGCTTTGAACTTATTTTTAAAATGACCCAAAGTCTGACATGAAATTTACATCATAACTTAGAGCACATAAGATAATGAAAACCAAGTTTAACAGATAATACTTAATCTTATTAAATATGATACACTTTGGTATTTCATTTTATTTAATTAACAAAATACTGATCCAAACCCACTAATATGATTTCATGACTTGCTGCTTGAAACACTCTTCTAAACCATGACAGTATAGATTTCATTTCTGTTCCAAACACATGGCCAGAACTTTCCCCATCAATGCCTTTTCATTTTGTTTGTTTTCTCATCTGAAGAGCCCCCACACCTTTTCCCCTCGTTTTTTAAAGGCCATCATGTTGATTCCTGGCTAAAACCATTTCCCAGTCTACCCCAGTTCATAGTGTATTGTGTTTCAATGCCTGTAATTAACACAGAGAACTCATCACACTTTTTAAAACACTAAATTATATGATGTATTGTAATGCTCTGTAATTGTCTTAGATCTTATATGATTATGTCTCCTTGATTAAATTTAACCTCTTTGAGGACAGTGACCATGTTGTATGTTTTTGCTTCTGTACTTTTCTTTTTTATTAATCTTTTTTCCTTTATTGATTTTAGAGATAGAGGAAGTGAGAGGGAGAGAGAGACAGAAACATCGATGAGAGAGAACATCAATTGGCCACCTCCTGCATGCCCCCAACCGGGGAACCAGGCCCACAACCTGGGCATGTGTTCTGGCCAGGAATTGAACTGGCGACCTCTTGGTGCATGGGTCAATACTTAACCACTGAGCCACACTGGCTGGACTGTACTTTTCAAAATGTTTATAAAGCACATCACACTTGCTAAAAATAGCTGTGTGACCCTAGACAGGTCAATCTCTGAGCTCTTATTTCTTTTTTAAAAAATTAAATTTATTGAGGCAACATTGGTTAATAACATATAAGTTTCAGGTGTACAACTTTATAATACGTCATCTTTACACTCCACTGTGTGCTCATCATTCAGCATCTAGTCTCCTGTCACCACACACTGACCTCCCTCACCTTCTTCATCCCCCTGCTCCCCGAGCTTTCATTTCTTCATCCCGAAAATAAAAGGGGCTCTTTCAGGTTAATTCTTACGTCTCTTCTAGATTTCTTAAGTCTATTTTTCAATGATATCTAAGAAATCCTGCCATAAAATATAGAATGCAAACAGAATATATGAAATGTTTTTATGAACAACTGTCAGAAAAGCTCTTGTGTGGGAAGAAAAAGGCTGATGTAGTTTGGCATTTTTAGTACACAAAATATAAACTCCGTGCTATCTCTGAAAAGATTATGAACAACTTCTTGGAGTTTGAAAATGAAGGTGGGCCCTTGTGTCACTTGGAGACTGAAATATGATTATTCATATATTTCTTTCTCAAGAATATATGAATGGATATATATGCAACAAGAAATGTCCATGGACTCTTCCTGAGTTGAATTGATTACAGAATAACACAAGGCTTAACAATGAATTTGGGCTTGGAGGCACATGGAGGCAGATATATCACGATTTAGGAAAAAAGTTATTGAATACAATTACGTTTTAGATATTGTTTGTTGACAAGTGGTTTGTTAAACATTACTGAGGACCTTCCCAGTGGCTTCTGAAGCCAAAGGATGTGCTGGCTGGTTCAGTTCCCGTGACCATCAGCATTCTTCTCATTCTGAGGCTACTGGCAGAGGACCGGGAGGGAGTCAGTCCCTTTGGTGGTGTGTATGTACATGTGTGTTTGGGGAATGAGAAGCTGTGCCTATAGATGGGTCATCTATAGTCTTTATATTCATTTCCTCTTTGTTAACAAGACCAATTTTCCCTCGGGGGAGCTTTCTCCCACTCAGTCCATGTGGTTTGGGTATGTACTGGGGGGAAAGCGGGCACTAAAGATGTCCCCCTCTGACCTTTTCCAGACATAGGTAAATGACCCCAACCTGGTTGTGTGTGTTCCAACCCATAGTTATAATGGTTATAATCATGGTTATAGGTGGCACAGATTCCAAGTGAGTTCATTGAGACTCGTTTCTTGGTCTGCTCTCTGGCTGATGGAATCAAGTGCTAAGGATGTTGGAGGAGGAGGTGAGCCTGGGCCTGCAGGTCTAGGTCTAGACGAGAGCGCATGGAACTAGTGCACTGAAAGCATAGCTTATGGAGAGGAGTAACCGAATCCTGACACTCTCAGAGTATTTGGAGGAAAAAAAGATTAAAAAAAGAAAAAACCCTCTAAAAATAATGTGTGCCCCCCCCCCCATCCAGTTCTACTCTTGGGATTTATAAGCATATGAGCCAATACATTCCAATCTCCTGCACTGGAGGTTTTTTTTAAATCTTCACCTGAGGATATTTTTCCATTTATCTCCAGACAGAGTGGGGGGGGGGGGGGAGAGAGAAACATCTATGTGAGAGAGACACATTGATTGGCTATCCCCCGGTCCATGACCCCAACCAGGGCCGGGGACTAACCGCAATGGAAGTAGTGTCCCTGATGGAAACTGAATCTGTGACTCTTTGGTTCTTTGGTCCACAGGCTGATGCTCTACCTCTGAGCCAAACCAGTCAGGGTTACACTGGAGGCTGCCTTGTCAGTTTGAGTTGGGTGCCTGTATATCCAACTATCCAAGGTATTTTCACTCTTGCTCACTGCTAACCTCCTCCCTCATCTTAATGTTTAGCCCAGGCAGGATCTTGCCTCCTGGTTTTTTTAGAACCCAAGGCTTATTTTCTCCCCATCTTGTAACAGAAATTGCTACCACCTTTTTGCATATTGCTTCCCTGCCCTCTTCCTCCTCTAGTCCCCATGTGCTTATTTCACAGTCGCAGGTGGCAGGAGAGGAAGACCTGATGTCCAGTCTCAGGCTACTGATGCAAGTGTCTTTGTGCAAATTAGAAAATAACCCTCCCCCTGAACCTCACCCCTACCCCTTTAGCGGCCAGGCTGGATCTTCAACTCAACTGCCTGCCTACCTCTATTTCCACCAGGACACTGTGCAGGGTACAAAGGACACAACACTGTGCTGAGGCCCTACCGTACCAAGAAGCAAGAGTTGGAGCCATGAAAAACAAGCCCCTTGCTACACACACCCAGTGTTACTGTGGTCTGTTCCTGGGGTGTTGATAGCCGCTGATGCTGTGTGTCTCCGGGGCATCCCCACACTGGGTATACCCCACAGTAGTCTCAGCAGCCATTATAAATGTTGATAGCTGGATAAACAACATCATCCCATTTGTCCCAGTATCATTTACAAGGCGGTAGGGTTTCTGGAGCGTCTTCCTGAGTTCAGTTTTGAGATCTCTGTGACCAAACTTTATTGATGAAAGTCAATGGTTCAAGAAATCCAGCTGGCGGCCACCTGGCCATTAACTGGCCATTGGCAGAGCACAGAGCACAGGGTAAAAGCAGGGTATTTGGAAAGGCTCCCATGCTACACACCAGTGACACCTTCAGGGGCCAGTCTAGGGGCTGGTCTTTAGTCACTCAGTCTCCTGCGCTCCTGGGGGAGAACCTCATCACTGTGTTGGAGACAGAGAAAGGAGAAGCAGAAAAAAAGACAGGAAACACAATTCTACTGGCGTTGGGAGCGCCGGCCAGGGCAGCGTCGTCGGGGCAGGGATGTGCGTGTGGGGTGTGTGTGTGTGTTTGTGTGTATGGTGGAGGTGGGGAGTAGAAGAAAAGACCCTAAAGAAGAGAAGGCCGTTAGGATTGGGGTGAGGTTTAAGGACCCTCGTTGGAGCACAAGCCATGGGCAAGGGTGGTCCCCGTGCCGGGTCCGAGCACTTCCTCTGCCTTTGCCCAGGCCGAGGGGCCAGCCGCCCGGGCGGGGAGCCGGGGGAGCAGCCGGCCGAGGGCGAGCGCAGCAGCCCGGGAGCAGCCTGACGACGGCCTCCGGAATCTGTCTGCTGCCCACGCTCCAACTTGCCTGCTCCAACTTGCCTCCTCCCACCCTGTCTCTCCACCCCCTCGCCTCCCGTGGAAATCGCGGCGGGCGCCTTTAAGAGCCAGCTTTGGTTACCCCGGGGGTGGGAACCCCCGGCAGATCGCGAGGCGGCGGCTCCCGGCCGCGACGCTCCGCACTTTCGGCTCCAGCTCCCGCCGCCGCCGCCTGGAAAGCCACTAGCTCGTCCGCCCCCGCCTCCGCCCCTGCCTGGAGCGCTGTTTTCTGCGGCGGAGGAGAAGTGCTATGTCAGGAAAGTTCCGGGAGGCGCCGGCTGGGGCCATGCTCCCCGCGCTCTGCGGGCGCCCGCGCGCAGCCCTTTGTACGAGGTGAGCGGGGTCCCCGCCCGGGACAGGTAGCGCGGCGGGAGCCTGCGGTCCGCGGCGTGGGGGTCGCCGAGCGGCTGGCGGAGAAAGGCTGGTTAGCCCGAAGTTGTGCGGGAGAAGCCCCGGGTTTCGGGGAGATTTTTGCGGCTGGACTTGAGTGATTTCAGCGGCCAGCGCCACACGGTGGGGCCGGGCCGGGACTCGGTTTCCCCGGGCGCCGCCCGGCCTGCGCGCCCCCGACGGCCCCGTCCCCATCCCCTGCCGCCCGAGCACTAGGCCTCCCAGAAAAGCGGGGGCTGCGGGTCGGCTCCCAGCGCCCGATTCTCACCGCGGGGCTGCTCCGGGGAGGCTGAGTGCAGGGCGTGAGGAAGGGGATGGGAGCCTCGTGAACTTTTACACCGTGGCCTCGTCGCTCCTCCGGGGCGCAAGTCTCCCCGTTTGCCCCAGTGGGCAGGCGCCTTGCGGGCTCCCCCAGTTCGGAGGGCTTGCCACTTGCGTGTGGGTAAGCTTGCGGCGCTGTGTGTCTTTTCTGCCTCGGTCGGTTTTCAGCGTCGCCCTGATTTTCGTCCTCCCTCCCCTCCCCCTTTTGCTTTGGGAATTCATTTTTTTTTTTTTTTTTTAAGAAAAAATATCCTGGAGGTTCAGGGTGCTTTAAAAAAGAAGAAGAAGAAGAAAAGAAAGAAGACACCCAACAATATATCTTTATGAAATTTACCCCCAAGGTTGACCCACATTTTCAAAGTGGTCGTTTAGTCCCTGATTGAGTGTTTAGACTTGGTCTCTGCACTTAGGAAATACTGGTAGCCCTGGAAAAGGAATGCAGGTTTGTTTTTAGTGAGGTAAAATGAGTTTTCAACCATATCTTTTTAAAATAGGATTTTCTCTTTATTCGTTGATTTTCATTGTCTTAGATTAAAAGGCTGCAACTTATTTTCGGAGTACTATTTCTAAGAATCATAAATAAAATTTGATGTGTCTTGCATAATCTGACATTGCTTCTGACAGTTTTACCCGTGGATGAGGTATGTAATACATGTAATTATTTGGTGACACCTAATATAGAAGTACATTTATTATGCAATGGGTAAGTTTTCCTTTTTCATGTGTCCTGTGGCTGTCCGAAACACATTTTGTCACACCTCTAGGTGTCTGCCTGTTACTGTTTCTGTCTTCTCCACTTACATTGTGTATGTCTGATGTCAGCTGCAAATCAAAAGTTGCTGATGAAAAGTCCCTATATTTTGTGAAATGTTGGATAGCCCAGATTTTAGTGACATAATTGATCACATAATCCAGATTATTTTGAAAAATAAAAATAGAATGTGGGAGCTTGTTTAAAGAAAAGAATATCATGAAGTATTTAATCAAGTATATGCATCACATATAGTTTTGTGTGTGAAAAATACACTACCAGAATAGACAGGGAATAGTGTACATAATGTCTTGTTTGTAGTGGGGAAGTTGTGAAAGGAAATTATTCCAGAATAATCATTAATGTTTTAGCATTTATTTGGGATATAGATTTTGGTTTCAGAGCACAGTTTTGTCACTCTTCTGTCAAATATACCAGAACTGAAACTTTATGAAAAGAACTCACAATCTTAAGCATTTTTTTGATAATTTGCAGCAAACTGAACATTTTTAGAAAAAAAAAGTTACTTAGAAAAAGTCACATACTTAAAACCCTAACTGCAGTTACCACTTTACCTTAAGTTTGCTGGACTCCAGGCAAGTAAGTACTGTATTTAAGAATTTGGATTTCTAAGGTAGATGTGACTTAGTTCCTAGAATTGTATTGATTAATAGGAGTGCCTTGAGATTTTGTATATGGTTTATTTGATATGACTGCTCTGTGAATGATTCTTTTTGAAACTAAATGTATATATATATCACAATATATAGCATTAAGTCCATATGTTTCAATATCATCTAATACATATAACAGGGAAATAATACATAATATTTATTATATGTAACATAATTATATATTATATATAACATATAATAATATATTATAATAAGAATATATATAACAGGGAAAACTATTCAGGGACTTGACAATACACAGCAGGTCTGAAAGATCAAAAGCTAGAAATAATTACTGTTAGAACTTGTCATCTCTTCAACATATTTGTCAGTGTCAGTTACATTATCCTGTCCAATATGTTCTTATTCCTGTATAACGCTTGGACCAGGGAGCCATGTGCCAGCAATCCTAATCACATATTTATTGAAATGGACTGAATTATCTCATCAGTGAATGACTGAATCAGGTACTTCTTAACCTTCAGTAGAGGAATCTCCGATAAAATGTAGTTTGTCAAGGTAGTGTCTTTCAACACTGCAAAAATGACTTTGAGGGCATTCCCATTGGTCTGGCCTTTTAGAGAGTAGACCTCAAAGGCATGGGGAGGCAAACCTTGGGAACATTTTGGTATTTCAATTTGTGAATGATGTCCTAAATATTTGATTTGAAAGATGTACCTACGAATGCTTGGAAAAAGAATACTTATATTAAAAATGTAAGAAGTTTGGATGAACACAGAAGGATAAATTTAGTGTTACCTGTAAATACAGGGTGGAGAGAGGAGTATGTTTGTAAGTAAAAGAGCAGTTAGAGTAGAGGTAGACAGATTGAAGATAAAGGAGGGACAAAAGAACTCATATCTCAAATATACATTGTGGTAATTTTAAAATGTCCACAATTTCTTTGCTACTGCCCCATGAAGAGGTGGAGACTAATTCTCTTCCTTTTTTGTAGGGGCTGACCTTAGTGATTTACTTCTAAGAAATAGAATGTAGTAGAAGGGATGCTGTGTCATTTACATGATACCTTTAGAAAACAAGAAATAGCTTTTTTCTGGCTCTCTCTTCTGAGATTTAGCTATTGAAACCCAGTTACCATGCTATGAGGAAGCCCATCCCACATGGAGAGGATGCGGGTAGGTATTCCTACTGAGATCTCAACTAACAACCAGCATCAGCTGCAACACATCTGAATGAGGAAGCCTGCAAGGTGACTCAGCCATCTCTTACTGAGTTAAGAACCAGTTAGTGAATCTTTTCATCCCTTAGAATTATGAAGTGATAATAATAAATGTTACTGTACTCCACTAAGTTAGGAGAGGTTTATTATGTAGCAATAAAGAGCTAGAAAAGTTTTTGAGTACTTACTATGTACCAGGCACTCTGTTAAAGGGTGGGCATATAAAGATGTTCAATATCAAATCTGTTCCCTCCTGAAAGAGGTTTAAACCTCATTAAAAAACTAATTGCATAATCCTATTATATATGTGCAATTTCAACAATAAACTGTTCAGTGGATGAGAAAAAAACAAAATAAAACACATGAACCTATAATGCAGTGCTCTTATCACTACAGGCAAAGCTTTGAGATATTTCTTACTATATTCCACAGCTGAAGCTGCTACATTTCAGCATATATATGAAAACTAGAAACAAAATAATTTTTTTAGATTGATTTTTTTTTTTAACATGCTAGGTATTTATCAGAAATGTGTTTATATTTGCTATAAATGTCCTTTACCTATTGCATGTGGCAATTTTTTGGGAAGCTGTGACAAGTGTATATTTAGGGTGACTTCCTAGTTGTTTATTTGAAACAGACAGTAACGTGTTTCCAAGAGTTTATGTTATGTCTCTTGGGTTCTCAAAAAATAACATTTGAAATGTGTTAACTATGAGCCTGAAATCACAGCCTTTCAGAACTGATGGGATCTTGGTCAATTATAGTTTCAAGTTTCCTGGGAATTTTCTGTTTAAGGTCAGATGTGGCCCTAGTTTGAACTGGATAATCCACAAAATAGGTACTTTTGCAACCACAGAACATGGAGAACATTCCAAATAATTTGCAGTGTGGGCAGCCCACCATGTTTTAGCGTTTAGTTGCCTTGAGGCAGAGTGCCATACTTGTAAAAAATGGTTTCTGAAGCTGACAGACAGCAAGCTGTTTCTGTCTTTGAGCTTGACACACAGGATAAAAGTGCCTTTTAGTTTCTGTGCCAGTAAATATAAACAGAATTGGTAAAAGTAATTTGTTTCCATTTCCATTTGTATGGCAGAAGATTCCAAAAACTCAAGCATGAAACGCTAGATTAATATTCTGGAAAGTTCATATTCATTAAAAATGTAGCGAAGAGTGTGAAGGTTGAATTTTATCAAAGTTTTAAGGTCTTGGGTAAGAGTGTATGTATACTCACAGTTAGGAGGATAATCTAGAGATCACCTGTTGAAATTAATAATACTGCTATTTTCAGTATTTCCTTCAAATGATAATGCTAAAGAAATTATATCCTCCCAGGCACAATTTAGATTAAAAAACATCCCCAGCCAGATACTGTAACAATCAGCTGGCATACATGTTAATTGATTCTTAGATAATTTTTAGTTCAAACCATTACGCGTCATTATAGGCGTAAGCTTAACGTACTTTTTGCGGTTTCTGACCGAAGCTTCCTAGTTAACTATTTTTCTCTCAGTTGGCTTAGCCAAATCTATATCTCTATGTTTTTATTGATTTTAGCGAGAGAAGGGAGAGAAAGAGAGAGAGAGAAACAGTGATTGGTCACTTCCCGTACCTGCCCCATTGAACCTGCAAACTAGGTATGTACCTTGACTGAGAATTGAATCTTCAGTCTTTTGGTGTATGGGATGATGCTCCAACTAACTGAGCCACATGGCCAGGGTGGCTTTTTTTTTTTTTTTTTTTTTAAATGTGAGAACTTCTAAGGATCTGCCTTGGGGAGGTGGTACAAAAAGGACATGATGTTTTTTCTAGCTACAATCTTCCAAAGGGAGGTGCTGTTACCTCTTCCTATGTTTTTTAAAACAAAAATAAATGTATGGGTAATTTTAGAGAAAGAACATTTGCAGGCCTTTAAAGATTCTTGAAGTTTAGGTCAGAATAAGGGTCTCGGTTGGAAGTTATGCAGGAATCAGTTAATATCTATGCCAGGTGTTGGTATAGTATATGGCTGCAGGTG